GAGAGAGAGAGAGAGAGAGAGAGAGAGAGAGAGAGAGAGAGAGAGAGAGAGAGAGAGAGAGAGAGAGAGAGAGAGAGAGAGAGAGAGGAGGTTGAACACGCGTGTGTGTGTGTGTAAGAGAGAGAGAGAGAGGGAGAAAGAGAGAAAGGAAGTGAGAGAGTGAGAGAGAGGAAGTGAGAGAGTAAGAGAGAGGAAGTGTGTGTGTGTGTGTGAGAGAGAGAGAGAGGGAGAGAGAAGAGAGAGAGCAAGTCTCTAACCTCGCGGCTGGCCTCATGGTACTTTCAGTGATGGGATGAGCAAAATTGAGTGAATCTTCCGCTAGACCACGGAAATATACACTGCCACACTCGTTTGGTTGTCGCGCCGTGAGTGTGTGTAATGGAGCGGCCACCAATCAATCAATCAATCAATCAATCAAGTTTTTTTTCTTTTTCTTTTCTTTTCACCCACAACCCACCCCCTCTCAATTCTTTTATTTTTTTTTTCACTTCGAGGTGGTGGGGTTGCGGTTACGCAACCCAACCCCAATAAGCCCCCAAACCCTTCCCCCCCCGCCCCACACTGGCCGCCACGTGGCCACAAAGTCGCACGGTCTTGGCTGCGCATGGCCGCCTCCGGGGGAGATTCATAGGTTTATAAGCCGCTGGCAAAAACTTTGATAAATCGCATGATTCATAATATGACAAATAAAATTCATCCTTCTCAAACAGGATTCATCAATCGAAAATATATCCAAGATAACATTCACCTAATCAACAATATGATTAAGCTTTCTCGTCAATCGAAACAAAATGCATCTTTTGTGTTCCATTGATTTTGAAAAGGCTTATGACCGTGTAGATTAGCCTTTTCTATACGCATGTCTTGGACTGATGAATTTTGGTCCTAAAATGTATATATGGGTTAGAATCTTGCACCACAATGCAATGACAAGAGTTCACGTAAACAGTTCCCTTTCGCCAGCAATGAGGCTTCAAAGGCCGGTGCTGTTAAAAAACTCCCTGACCATTTTTCTTTTTGTAATCATTATGGAGGGTCTAGGGCCAACCTAAAAAAAAATCGCAATATTCAATGCCTTCAGATATCTGGTACTCCGTAAGGAACAATCCATATTAGCTCAATGTTTGCTGATAACCTCGCCATTATGATGGAGGCTTCAACATCTCATATGACGGGGATCAAAACCCTTATTGCCAAATTCTCCTAAGTTTCAGACACGGTGGTGAATTGGGGAAACAAAACACAAGGATGGTGGATTCACTCTAATAATGGGGATCGGGCCCCAAAACAACCAAGGGGTAAGTGGGTCACATTGGATACTCTAGTGCGAGTTCTTGAAGTCTCTCTAGCAGCTCAAGGTAAGCCCTCAACCAATAGTGAGTGGATTTTCCGACCAGCCATAAAAAAATGAACCAATGGAAGAAGGAACATACCTCACTATTTGGGAGGACCCTCATCATTAACAATGTCGTGCTCACTCTATTTGGTACAAATCAGCACTCTGGTCCATCAGTAAGGAACGTACAGAAACACTCCAGAAGGCAGGTAGCGGCATTTTTATGGAGAGGAAACCATGAGTTGGACAAGGTAATACCAAGACTCGCCTTATTGTCCTTGATTCAATCAAAAACTAAGGGAGGACTAGGGGTTCTTGACCCATACCTGCAACATTAAGCTTTATCTCTACAATGGATTAAAATAATCAATACTGTCCGCAGATAACCTTGGTAAGAGTTGGCACTTGAACAGATTCGTAGGCTAGCGCCCTCGTCGATGGGGGATATACACCCACTCACCTGGTTAGACAACTGGTTCCGCAGCATCCCAGGGCACATGCAGAGTGCAGATGAGAAGGGGTTAGGGGTGCAGCTAGAATAGAGTTTGGATGACTTGTGAGTCTCGCTGCCCAAAACATGGCGCTGTCTCGCTGCCCAAAACATGGCGCCATCGACCCTTACCCAATACTGCGCCAATAGACCTTTCCAATCTCGATATGAGGAAGTTTTACAACAGCCTATTTACATCGTTGTATCTTCAATAGTCTAGTCTCATCTTGGGCATTGTGGGTTAAAAGGGGTGTGTCGAGGGTCAAAGATTTATGGAACCCAGGGACAAAAGACTGAAAATCGGCTGAACAGCAGAGACAAACCTTGCGATATGTGCACCAGGCTACCAGCCAGCTGCTAACTTGGAACAGATTAGAAAAGATATACCTTTGGACTAGGTCAGAACAGTAAGGTTTTCAGCCTGATATACCTGTGGGGTTTTGAACCCGCACCCTCAGACCACGTGAATGGGTGATTGGCCAGGTTGTTCACACTTTCCCTCATGAAGCCCTAGTGAATATTTCTTAGAGGATACCGCGTTGCTCTCAGATGAAGGCCTCATGAAGCCCTAGTGAATATTTTCTAGATACGCGGGCAGATGAAACACGAGGATACCGCGTTGCTCTCAGATGAAGGTCGCTATGGACTGGCTAAACGGAGGGAGGAAGAAGAAGACAGGAAGGAAGGCTGATGAGAGGACAACTTGGGCTGAGGGGATAAGATTCTGTGCTCTGCTGTTTGTATGTTTATGGATTTTGAAAAGAGCTGATAGTGGCAGTCTCATTCTGATCTTTCTCTAGCTGGCAGCAGCAGTGACTGTGTGGCCACAGTTCCCCTTCCACTCTTCTTCAGGTGACCATCTTCATCTCCAATCCCTTGTGCGTGTGGCTGACTACTCATTGCCCCCCTCCAGAACGGCTCTGCTGAACCTAGATGAAAGGGCAGGGTAGCTCAGTGGGTAGAGCACCGGTTGGCTATGTGCACTGTGGTCTGAGGGTGCGGGTTCAAAACCCCACAGCCTCACGACACTCCCCCACCACCCAAGGGATCCGGTCCAGGATTGTTGTAAGTCGGATCTGGGCTGTGAGGGGTTTGTGGGTTATTCAGATTGTCTTCCAGTATTGAGCACAAAATAGACTAGTTTCCACAGTAGCTCAGTAGGTATGATGTGGGGATTTGCAAAGTTGAGGTTTGTGTGTCCGAATTCAATCAGAGCTGGTATGCAGGCAGGGGTACTAGTGAGACAGATCAGCTAGGTCCCCCACCATATCTCGATAATAGGAACGGTGGATGAGAAGAGGCTTCGTACGGGTTTATGGTTGGTGCTGTCTGAGAGGGGCCCTGTTGCTTGCTGCGGATTTGGGGGCTTCGCAGCTGGCGCGGGAGGGGTCAGGTAGGGAGTCCTGACATAGCATCCTCAACCCGCCCAATGGTTGAATAGGGACTATGGTCGGTGTTGGTAACGGGCCTTAGCAGGCATCTTAAATTGAGGACCTTCCAACCCGCCCAAAGGTTGAACGGGGACTATGGTCGGTATTGGTTAAGGTGCCTTAGCGGGGATCTTGTGCTGAGGACACTCTAAGGATTAGATATGGTAGGTAGCCTGCCTCCCACATTAACAAAACATATCTCAGAACCAACAAAGATTACCATCACAACGGAACAAGTAGTAATAACAGGACTGTACACAGTGAACAACCTAACAACAGAACACCAGTAACAAATAACTGTCTAGACAATGGTAGGAACAGGAATAGGTTCTCCTACTCGATCAATCCTTTCCCACGAGGATGGTATGGGAGGTGGCCTCGTCTTCTCAGGACAACCATGGCTGACTGCTCCCGGTAATCACCGAGGACCTAGTAACTGGCCTCTACAACACCCTGGACTTTGAAAAAAAAAAGAAAAAAAAGGAAGGAAAGCACAAACATTATTTACCCGGCTGAGGGCGGTCCGCATCATTTCGTTGTTGTTGTTTTTTTTCCCTTTCTTTTTTTGTTTGTTTTGTGTGTGTGTGTGTGTGTGTGTGTGTGTGTGTGTGTGTGTGTGTCTGTGTGTGTGTGTGTGTGTGTGTGTGTGTGTGTGTTTTCCCACTTCTTCATTAGACTTCTTTCCTTCAACAGGCCATGTCTTCCACATCTCCAAAAGCTTATGAATGTACCAGGACATAAACGTTCTTCAGATACACACCAATTCCTCTCCCCCCCCCCCTCCAAAGCTCCTCGTTTTTATTTATTTTCCGGTTTGCTCGCCACTACTAATTGTTTTTTCTCGACTACTTCAAATTTGTCTTCACCCTCCTTCACAATCTGATGTTCTTGCCCGCAAGATATTCACATGTATGGATGGCCATCTCGTACTCTCTGCTTCAGTGGCTCCACGAGACAAAGTGGCGCGCTGTGAACATTCAGGTAGAAAAACACCCAAGAAGGCAGCCCAACCACCGATACTTGCAATCCAACGTGCGGCACACAATTTGAAAAGTGGAAGCAGCGCACAGCTTGCCAATCCCTTCCCATGTGCAGCCGATGCGGGATAAGGGTTAGGATTAATCATTCATGTTTCGTAGAGTAAATGGACAAATTTCAGTTCTTTACTTCTTCTTGTGATATGAGCAGTTTTGATTTGTTGTTTTTTTAAGCCTATCTTTTTCCTCACCTGCTCAGTCAATCCCCTGGGATCCAGGGTAATTAATGCTGGCCGGCACTCCGTTTTTCTTAGCAGTTAACTTCAAAAAGGTATTGTTCAGGGACGCTGGACCCGGTTTCCAGCAGGTGTTGCTCCCCACCAGTAGACGGAGCGTTAAAAAAAAAAAAAAAAAAAAAAAAAAAAAGAGCCTATCTTTTTCCTCTTATTTTCTTTTTAGTAATACATGAAGTTCAAATTTCAAAATGGATAAGACCACCGCTCAGGGTACTTGGGTGCACACTACCACAGCCGTCTGTTGCTGGTCGGTCGGGAGTGGAAGGCTCATTCTAGTTGGAAAAGGAGTGATGAGAACACATCATCATGGGTGCGCAGCTTGCACCCGTTGTGCTGGCCGCGAGTAGGCGGCCGTATTCTGGTGAGTCCAAGAACAGCCACCCATCAACTCCAGAGGATGCAGGCACTTGATACGCAAACCAATGCTCCAATGCATGCCAATTACGCATTCTGCCCGCAGTCTTCAATGTCTCATAATGTCCTAAATCAATTCAAACAGGGCGCTCGTGGGTTTAGACTTATCAGTTCTTTAGCTTCACCGATCGTCATTTTGGCCGTAAAGTAGACACTGTCCAGTGCCTTGGGCGGGACAAGTGGGCTGTAATTCCCCTGATCGTCACACACCTTGAGCTGTCGGTTGCGTCCCGGGACCATAACAAAGTTAACAAGGTGGTCGGAGGCACTCGAAAGGAGGTGCCCTGCCACTGAACAGCTCTCGCCTGGCTTAAACAGGCACGCAATGCTCCCTGCACTCTCTATGTTTAAGTAAACCACCTCCTGAGAGTCCATCAATCGATAGATGTACTCCTCGCCGAGGCAAGGAGGAACGTCGACCTCACACAGATCCCTTGCAGCGGTGGTTGAGGGGTCAGATCTCCGATGAACACTGTATTCGCTGCATGACGTCTCGGCCTCAGCGGATGATCTCGAATAAGAGGATTGGTGAAGAGTGCTCAATCTTGTTGTTCTCGAGTATCGCAACCGTTTGACTCGAGAAGGTGAGCTTGCATTTGACCCATCGCATTTCCCTATCGTTGTCCAGTTTTCACCATAGGAAGCCTCTGCACGACTCATGAACGAGTATCTCTGAAGACCGCTTTCTGAGCTGCACTGCCATCCAATGACTCCTCCAGGGAAAACCGATAGCCTATTTTCCGAATCTTCCCTTGTTACCGTCCTTCTTCCAATTGCCGTAGAACCTGATGATGTGTTCCTTGCCTCTGTTTCAGATCCGCTTCCCTCCGATTCCATCATGATAGTTCTCGACACAGTATCAGTCCTTGGAGGTGTTGGCGGTGTGCGTGGCGTTAGAGGCTCAAAGTCAGATTGGATTTCTTGAACTTTGTCGACCCGAGGGCGCACGAGATCAATGATAGGCGCCACCACAGGTAACACAGGCACTGGATGCTGCGGCAATTGTAGTCCTTCTCGCATATCCAGTTCGCCTTGCCCATTTTCCATTTTTTCAATTCTATCATCAGCAGCTGCATGGCTAGTGCCCGTCTCATCCCCTCCATAATGCACCTCCTCATAAGCCCTCGTATCAGTGTCTTCATCCGGAATTTCTTCATCCAGGATCTCTCTCTCGTTTCCGCCAATGGCATCCTCTTCAATACCAGAATTGTGACCATCTCCTCTGCCATAATCACCGTAATTGGAGATCTGTTCTTTCCACTGCTTCCCCCGTACACTGGCAGCACGGACTCTTGCATCTCTTCTTTTTGTCTGATTACTTTTGGCCCTTTTCGCACTCTTTTTCCCCTTGTTTGTTCCACCCTTTGTTTTCGGAACAGCTTCTTCTCCTTCGACTCTTAATGCATTTCTTTGGCTTCCCTTATTTCTTTCAGCCCCTGCTTGTGACGGAACCTTTTGAAATCCACATACACAACTCGCAACGAGCATGGCAAGTACGAGGCATCCTCGAAGTACCCAGGTGAAAAGCTGTAAGAGAAACGGACATACCCTGATTATAAGTGCCAAGACCTGTCCTAGGAAAGCCCCAAGGACTTCAAAGGTCATGCCGCAACTCTTAAGTATTCTGCAGGTGATGATGAACAGAATGATGGAGCCCACAATAAGCGCTAGAGTCTTTATCCGTTTCCAGCAACCCATGGCTGCAAAGCATGGCAGGTCGTAGAACTTCGGGCAGATGTCTTCGCAAGTGATCACATGCCGTTGCCGCTTATGAATGATGACACGTCCATCACCTTCATCAACAGAGTCCAGTCCCATCAAACCTCCCTTCTCGTACGTGGTTGCGGTGGTATTGAAGAACATGGTTGCTGAATCTGTGACGATGTTTTCCGAGTCAAACAGAACCACATCGCATCTTCGCATTGCAGCATTGTCATCTTCAGTGCGGACCTCGAATTGGAAAAGTACTTTTTCTTCAGCATCGATTAATCTTGCCAACTCCTGTATTGGTGCTACTCCCCTTGAGCAATTCAAGATTCTTAATGTGAATCCTGCTGTCAGGGTTCCCGTGTTCATGGCCACAACTTCCAGCAAACCGACAGCAGCCATCGCCTCAAAACTTGGCATGAAAACTGATATGATTTTCCCTGGACTCCTGTTCATCTCGAATACCACATCATCCGCATTCAGTTCCAGTGTAATCAGTGTGTTCCTTGCCCGAGTGACCAAGTACTCCAATGTCATCAATCCATTCTCTTTGCGTCCAGACAGTGTCCCGTAATAACTCGCATAATTTTGTCGATCCTTCATATAGTCACTGATCTGATTACCCAGACAGGTTCCAGGTGGATTGTCACATCCTTTCCCTATGCCAGGTTGCTTATTGAACCACTTCCCGGTTACTCCCGGCTCTCGACAGGAAATGCCAACAACCTTCTCTTTCTTTAGTATTAACCATTTCGAATTGTCCCACATATTGCTCTCATTTACCAACAGCAGAAAGGAACCGTCCATACGGATGGATACATCATCATTGAAGTCCCCAACAATGTTTGCACGCACAGTATTGTCCAAATTTACAGCTACCTGACGACTGGGGCTCAACATCAGCTTTTCCTCTTTCTCATCTAGGCCATCGGAAATAGCGACCTGAATTGCATAGTCGAGTTCACTCCCAACGATTTCATAGGAACGAAATTTAGAAGAACCGTTCACAATGCAGAAGGCAAGAGACCTGAGATGAGAACTCCATGAGCATCGGGCCAGCCTACTGTCATGGGGACCAGCGATCATGTCTCGGACTCTGCAGAAGCAGCAGGTTCCGCTGTTGTTTCTCCCGTTGCTTTCGCCGGTAGCCTCGAGTTCGCCACTAGCCTTGACTTTGCTGTCAGAGTCAGTGTTGTTCCCTTGCCAACGGATTCCGTCACAGGTTGCAAGTGCTTCCTGGCAGGAGCTTCCCAAAGTAATTTTTTCCTTTACCTCATAAATCATCTCAAAATAGCTAAGCTTGTACGTGATGTATGCTGGACTCTTGGTTATTCCAATGGAGACTGGGCGCTTTAGAAACCGCCGACCTCGATTTCCATCCTGGATACTCAGCAATGTTGTAGATATTCTCTCAGTTTCCTGGCTCTGCCCACTCGGCACAACCAAGGCAACAACCATCTTCTTTATGCACTTAATCGTTGGCAGACTCGAGGTTGATGACTTGTTCGCTATGGTGGATGGTTCATTTCGACTTCCAGCAAGCAGCCGATGCGCAGGAGGTCTCGCTTTGACAGATGGTCGTTGACGTAGCCCGTGATATTCTCCCATGGCGTTACCATCTGCTCTCCCCAAAACGCGGAGATCGTCACCATGCTCACCGGTCTGATATGCTGGAGCAATATCATGCTGCATTGCCGACAACGCCACTGACAGTGATGGTACCACTCGTGAAGATGGAGCCGTTTTGCCCTTCCGATCGGCTTTTGCTAAGCCAGGTTTTTTTCTCTTTGAAGTCGACACAAAGGAATCGTGATAATCACGGGAACGACTCATCAAGCTCTCCGCCACCTCATCATCATCATCATCATCATCATCATCATCATGCTGCTGATGCTGCCTTTTCTGGACATTGGGCGTGTCGTCGTTTTCTGTAGACCACTGGTCGTCAAAACCCCTAAAATCATCACGAAACCCCATTCTCATGATAGACTGGGAAGGACGAGGAGGAGGAGGAGGAGGGTACCCTTCGAACAGAAGACGTCTGTGCTGCCAACTGACATTAGCCTCTGCTTTGTCCGTCGGGTTTACTGACGTGGACTTTGTGCTTTCTCCCCCGTCCACCACACACATTTTCAGCTCGCTACTTGCTATGATTAATCCCTCCCCAACCCCTATCATGCGCGTCATAAGCATCACCATCACACTCATCACACTCATCATCACCATCGCCATGCTCGGGGGCGTCATCACCATAGCCATCCTCCTCGGGAATCGATGACAGGGCCACGACCGCCACGGTGACCGCCGCCCTCGCCCTCGTGGCCCGGTCATCGTCAACGTTTTCCGAGTCATCGGCAGCACTATCATCATCCTCTTTAAGAATGCATTGCCAACGGCTTCGCCGTCAGAAGGGGCAGCGTTGGGGACATGATAATGGCCATCATTTTCGAGGATTGACAAAACCTTCGGCGTGGGCAATATGGCATCTCCGTCCTTTTCCAGGATTCCCTCCTCGTCATCGGCTTCGTTGGGATCGGGAGCGAGAACGACACTGTCACAACCCCGATCGTAGCCAGAAGTTCGAAATGTTGTCGAGAAGCTCGGTGTGGACAGTGAGTTTGACCAGGACCCATTTCTGCTGGACGTGGCGCTCATGTTCGTGCCGTTGACACGTGTTCTTCCCTCCTGAGTCAGATATGCACCTACTCCACTTATTTTCTCCTCATCCGTGTCCCATTGTTGACCGTCATGATTCCGCTCTCCCACCATATCCACTTCAGGGTTTGACCTTCCGTGTCTCATTCGCAGAAAACGCAAATCGCAGAGTTTTTGTTCGCCGCAAACTTTCACCGCACCTCCACCTTTGCAATTGGAGAGATTTAGGACAAAGTACCTTTCCTTTTTTTGTTTTGGCTGCTCAGGAAGGTGGCAGAAAGGGAACAGCTTGCACACACTGCAATTGAAGGGGGAAAAAAACACAATAAAGGAATGGAACTGAGGGCAACATGCACACATTGGCAGCAGGGAAACAGAGGAGGACGCAATTTATAATTTGTCATATCAGATCAAGCAGGACTTGTGCTTTGAATGGCTGGCGGAGAAGCACCTGCTGAGGTGTCAAACCACCTGTTCAGCTGAGCCTATTTGTATGAAGCTACCTCCCAAGGCTCCAGAGCCTTCAACTAGGCCTTTTCTGAGTGGCCTCCACAGAGAACTACCGGTCCAGGCCCGAAGCTGTATGCTCTTACTGCATACACTGGTAAGAGCCCAACTTAGCTTCGGCCAAACTGACGGCCTAATTGCAAAAGTAGGGGGTTGAGAGGGGAGGTAGGAACAACCCAGGGCTGTGCTTCGGAGGACAGGACAAAAGTGGACAACTCATGGGTCCGTATTTCTTCCTTTACTTTTTCTTTTCATTTATGGGTCCGAACACTTGCCGAAGATTTCACAGAGCACCCCCGGCCAGATTTGACATAATTGCCAGAGCTGGCATGGGACGGCACAACCTACCAATGGGTGGAACTATCTTTAAGCTAGCTGACAGTACCAGGGAGGTCACTAGCCCTGCTTTTCTGAAATCGTTGCAAGCTCGTGGATGCATATGATATGGGACACTGACCTATTGGTTGTCAGCAGGCAATGCTCCCACGGTCCCACCCAATATAGATGGAGGCCCCAGAAATGACAAGATGCAGATCCTGATCTGCGAACCCAGGGAAATAACACCCTGGTAGGGGGCACTGCAGCAGTCTAGGTAGGCACAATGAATGTTTTGGAGTTCCATTTTGGTTTTTCATATAGGTGAAAAAACACAAAACTGCGAGTGGCACCCCTCAGGGGGTCGGCAGGGACAGGTGAAGGATGGCAAAGCAAGGTTGGACCACTCTGCATGAAACTCAGAAACGCTGGGCCCACCTCCCAACTGTGTTTCCGACGGGCCCTGGCCCCTACTTGGTTGCCTGCAGTTTCAACAGATGATGTCCCCCATAGAATTGACAATTGAATTAAATGAAATTAATTAAATTGGATAATTTACCAATGGGCGCCACAAAACGCTAAGTGGGCCTTCTCTTGCCTCTCGACATGTATGGTAGCCAATGAAATGTTTGCTAACAAGGTTCGGCGGTTGGGGGGGAGAAGGCGGCAGGAGGGGGAGGGATTATAGGCCATTGTTTTTTTTTTTTTTTTGAAACACCGCCTTTGCTGGGTTTCTCCTGATGAAGGCGATAGCAGCATCCTCCGTTAGCAGTCCCATGTTTGGATGACTACATCTATTGGTGGGGAGGCAGCACCTGCTGGAAAGCGGGTCCATGTTGATGAGCCCGTGCATGTGGGCAACCAGGCACTTCTTGAGTTGAATGACGTGTCGCGCCGCCTTGGACTGGTTACCCTGCCAAACATGTTTGCACAAGTTGCATTGCAACTTGCGATCCCCATGCATCTTGGTTGGGTCCCCCACCTTTTCGCCCTACGTCACACACTTCCAAACACAGCACGCCCTCCTAAACTTCGCCATCTCAGTGTCTGACATAGGGATGAACTCATTCCCCCCCGACCCACTTGCCCCCCGAGTCATTGTGGAAGTCCCCAAGTCCCCCCTCTAACAAACACACCCCCTTGCCCCCTCTGTTACCCGCCGATGCCGTCCATCGATGTCGTCTTAGTCCTCGCCGGTCACGCTCCGTCCAGGAGCCTCCCTTGTTCCCACCACCTTTATCTTTACGCACGATCTCGGCGAGACTGGGCGCGACCACTACCGCGCTGTTGTCCATGTGGCCATGACCGGAGGTTGCGACTACGCCCACTCTCTCTCTCTCTCTCTCTCTCTGTGTGTGTGTGTGTGTGTGTGTGTGTGTGTGTGTGTGTGTGTGTGTGTGTGTGTGTGCTCTGTTGGCGACAACCGAACAACAGCACCTCTTTGTGTTTTGTTTCAGATAAATGCCGACATTTATCTGAAACAGCAGCAGCAAAACGTCGCCACCCTCCCCCCCGAGGCCCCAAAATCAACCGGCACCAGACCTTTCAACGACCTTATGTTTTCCTCTTAGTTTTTTTTTTTTTAAATCACATAGAACATGATAACGACAAAAAAAAAAAAGCAAGGAAAACAAGTACACAAAAACAGGGTTAACCAAAACAAAAAAAAAAAGGAATCACCGTGCCAAGTTTCTTTTTTCTTGCATTTCCATTCTTCCATGTTTTTATTTTTTTTTAATTTGAAAAGGTCTGCTAGAGGAAAACCATAGGCAGAGAGGGAGAAGAGGACAACAAACGGTTTACCGGGCAGCTCTGTTTGGTGAGCCCGGTGGTTGCGATGTCGAGCGCAGGCGGTTTTGGCCCCACGATCACGACCACAGGGGATACATACGTCTCAGCTTTTTCTGTGCCCCCGTATTCCCCCCTCCCTCTCTCTCCTTCCTCTTTCCTGAAGTCTTACCCAGTGGAACCTTCCCAGGCTGGTATACACAGGGCACCTGCCCCCCTTCCTGCGTTGCGTCGTCATTGACATCGATCACATCATCCACCCTTTGGCCTCCCACGTCCTCACCGTCTGCACCCTCCTGCCGCACAACCCGCATCCATAGGTGGTGCACCTCAGTGCAGCTCCTCGTAACATAACGATGACCCAGAAAAAAACGACAACTCTATGCATGTTTCCTTTCATCTATTTTGCGTTTTTGTTTGGGTTTCCCACTCAAGCTCCAGTCTCCCACTTCGTGGCTGCAAGTCCATTAGTATGTGTTCGTTGGGCCTTATGGCGACACGATAACAACCATAAGACAGATAAAATTCAATTTGATTGAATTGATGATGCACTCACTGAACTGGTGCATCGTAGGTCAAATTCATTTTTGGATTACTTTCTTTGGTGTGAATTTGACATTCTTTCCTATGCATTTCTTAGGTCTTGCGGCCCGTTGCGGGCATGCCACACCACATTCCGGATTATCCAGATGCTTATGCCAGAGGGAATGCACCGAGTAGTTTTGGCTCTTCGCCACATTCCGGATTATCCAAATGCTTATGCCGGATGGAATGCACTGAGTAATTTTGGCTCTTATCTTTCTGTTGTAGGAATTTTTTTTTGTGTGTGTGTGGTTGTTTATCTCACTTTAACCAGTGAAGTGCGCGCTCGGCAAGCGCCTTGGGCAGTTGACCCAAATTCAAAAGTTCACTATTGTTTTACGAGATAAACCTGGTTATCATAAATCGAAGCATCTTTTGGAATTGCTCAACCCCCCCAGACAATAGATAGTGCGCGATCATAGGATGAGGTGCCTCTTACCGGGTGGTGGATATGCTCACATAGGTTTGAATTGACAGATGCAGATTACCCAATTAATTGGGGCGAAGAACATATTCTTCGAGCTTTGACGCGATCTTCTTATACAACCCGCAAAGTATCTGCCAAGCGGCTTAATTCAATATCGATATAAAATAAGTAAGCACGTTTGACTTCAGAATAGGTTCTTACCACGACGTTAACTTGCGTCGGTGTACATCGGAACCTTAAGAAGTGTTTCTTGTGATTTCTTGGATGGAGAAACTCTACTGACGAGCCCGTGGGATTCAGCCGCGAAGCGTCTGCTCTTCGAGTCTTTGCCAAGGTGGAGTCATCGGAACCGCTCCAGCTGCTTGCCCTCCGTTTTGTAATTCATGTTGTACTGGATGTCCATGAGTGCCTCATCTATCACTTGCAAACATCCCTTCTCCTGCTTGAAGTGCCTCGCCACAACAAATTGTGTGTTTTGGAACTCGTGGCCGCAAAAGACGATGTCGAGCGCATCGGTCCCGTAGGAGAACCCTCCTGGCTGCGTCACGCAGGATTTCGTGCAGGTCTTATCCTTTATCACATTGCAATGAAGATTCTTTGCTGCTCCGGCCGAGTGCGCAAGCCATACCTCTCGCGAACCCCTACGACATGATAGGGTCACGCGAGGTACAAATTACCTCCACCTGCGTGAGTTGTCACCTCCCTAGGGGGGGCGTATCCCCGCCGAGCTACTGAACCACATGTGAAAGCTGATCGGTTGCAATCGCAGAGGTGGCCCAGCCGAGGTCGTTTCTCGTACGCTGTAGCATAGGGGGTACGCGCGGTCCCACACCTCTATCGGACCTGTATGCGAATCGACGCATTGGGGGGCTGAGGTCCCAAACACGATCCGTCGTCGGTCGACTAGGACGCATCCTTCTAACCACGTGTTACACCACGCCAAAGCAAAAAAAAGTTAAATTACTCACACTAAACAAAACACTCCTCGTCCCTTTGGAATCTAACCCATAACTTTTCCAACACTAAATCGAACAGGTGTCATGCGCGGGACTTGATATAAAATCGCGCGGATGCAGGGCTTTTTCATATAAACTAGCCATGCATGAACATTGAATACGGAAGCAGTCGCAATGATGGTGTACCATACAGTACTCATAATCATGCGGCCCTCAGTGGTCTCGAAGGTCACATTCGATACTCGAGTGTCGGCTGACATGCGCCTTGAGGGGTTAATCTCTCAACGCTAGACAACCATCAAGGCGGTTGAGAACCACACCCTCTTCTGCACCCTACAGAGAGTGGGTGGTAGATAGGTTCTGACCCGTCGTGACAGTCAATGCTTATGGCCTTGGAAGCGAGCTCCATCATCCAGAGCCTGGAGAGAAGTCAAGGGGTTTGCTATAGACTTCAACGTCCAACTATAATAAACCAAAAAGCAAAAGGTAAAAAAGGTCTCCCTTTACTCTCAAACACAAAAATCAATTCAACCCTTAAGCACGGTCAAAGTAGGTCATGCGGACACTCGAAACCTACCTAGCACTGTGTTTGCATTCGGAGGCGAACGCGAACAACGGCCCAAA